ATATCGTTTCAATTCGCAATATCGTTTCAATTCGCGAGGCGTCGTTTGCGTTATCCATAGTATTTTAATGGTCCGTTTTATGAAATTGTGGTATTGCTTTCAAGAAAGAAGTTATTTTTTGCATCTATACATATTTATTCTAATAAATTGAACAGTTTCTGGCGAAAAATAAAATATATGCATCTTCCTCATTATCGTAAATAAAGTAATATCTATTAAAAACATATTTCTAAGTAATTTTCTGTTCAACTTAAGGTTTTGTTTATTATAATAATCAAGTTATGTACTTTTATACCGAATACGTTTCTTAACTCATCTTATTTTCAAACCCAGCTTGCACAAAACCAACAAGAACATTACTTGGGTTCATTGTTGAAATAGACACAGGCAGGATAAAGAGTTCATAGTAGAACACTTACCAACGTTTACGACAGACCTGATAAGCAAAGATAGAAAACTAAAAATATCCATTTATAATTGATGGTATTAACGAAGCCATATCCACATTTTATCAAGCAAATCAGGAAACGACAAAACAAATTCTTCGTCAGGTAGTAGCTCGGAAATGCGTGTTTTTTGCACAAAACGATATTAAATCATTGGAAAAGAGCTATATGGAAGCTTCAGTCCTCAAATTTTTATTGAGAAAGTAATGTAGAGATGGACAGGAACGTAGTAGATATGAAAGTGTTGTAGAATGTCACCTTATAGAATCTATCTCTCTATGATATAAAAGAATATCTATATGTATTAGGTGCAGTGAACTGAAATATGTCTAATAAAAAATAATATCAATCAAACTTGATATTTCTAAGTAACTCTATTAAGCTAATTTTCAAATAGCAAGCTAAGTCTGTAAACTAAGAAATTCCTCAAACTTAGTTCGAATAAAACTGACACGAGCGTTTGTTTTGCGTCGTAGTTGCCAACGTCGAACGTCATTTAAGCCTGTTAGTACCCAAGACTTAAGCCGCTATTCCCAAAACAGCTAAACGCTTCCGCTAATTATCCTTTCATTTCGATTTAATAGATTCATATTCGTAAGCAGCGGCATTAGGCCCTGTTTGCCATCTAATCTATTACCTACCTGTACGTGCGGGCATAACATGTGTAATCTCCTTGGCAGCCGCATCGGATTCCCTCGAAATCGACTAGGGGATTAATTATTATCAGGGAAACGCCGACGTTACCCTGCACCGTTATTATACCGTGCTGTGCTGCGGTGACGCTAGCTAGGTATAAAATGAAGGAAGAGGTGATGGAAATTTGAAGGGAGACGATATTTGCTCCAGGCGTTTTGAGAAAAATCAAATTATGGTGCCACCTGTATTGATTCTTATAGTATTAATAATATTTGCTGTTATTTCTTGGTGTTTCCCAATATCATCCCAATCTTCTACTTCTGTCTTTTGCACTGGTGCGGCCTGTCCAAACGTAGTAGGAATATTGTTGTAGAAAAAATGTACCCTGCCACAAATGAAAAGCAGACCGTTTTTGCACCAGTTGTTTAAGAAAAAAATACATTTTGGCACAAAATCATATTTGCTTTTTCTTCTGGTTTGCTATATTTTTGACCTTTATCTAGACTGCTTTTTACAGCAGAACTTTGCTCTAGTGCATACATTACTTTTTCATCTGAATATCCATTTTTATTTAATTTATCCCAATCTTCTCCTTCTTTCTTCTGCACTGGTGCTTTCTGTCAAAAGCAATAAAAATAGTGGAAAAAGTATACTCTACGTCAGATAGTTATCCTATAGTTAAAAATATGTAAATGCTAAATAAAAATGTTTGTTCTTCCGAATGAAAAGAGCTTTAAGAAAGAGCGATTATAAGTAATCGATTTATTTAACGTATTAGCTTGTTGTATCACAATTTTAAAAATATGACCTTAGAACATTAAAGTATTATTCAGAGAAAATAACTCAGTAAATATTTGATATAAATTAATCAAGAAAAAGATTGGATAAAATAATGAGATACAAGGAAAAAAATATTTTTACATCACTGAAATTAAAATCATTAGCATCGTAATTCATACAAAACTAATATTTCCATGCACCAACAGTAAATTTAAGTTTTGTTATTTATATTTTGCCTGACATCACAAAAATATTTTTCTATTATTTGACTTTTTAAGTGGTTGGCTCTGTTTTCATAAACTTTGTTTTTCACTCAGTATTATCGGGACACTTTTTTATCAAATTTTTATCACATTTTATATCACACACATAAACACAGGCTTCCAATTAGACGACCAAAAAAGCAACCTGACGTTAAAATCCCTCCTTTGGGATTATCTCATCTTCCACCGCAAAACATCTTTCCCCAACAAATTATAAAGTTTTGACTGGGGCAAATCCTTTCCATTTTTTATAAAATCTCGTTTCTTTTGTTCTCACATGTTCTCCCTCCTTTGTCTATCTCACGAAGAAAATATATTTGCATTATTATACCGTGCTGGCAACTGATACTTTTGGGTCGGCATGTGAGAGAAGTGCGTCAGTGTGTTGTTGCGGCGTTGCCGGTACGCCTTTCCCTACCAAGTAAAGTAAAATCACGATCGCAAACCGCTTATTTTTAAAAGACTTTTTTTTCAAGAGATAACTAGATAAAATCATTAGACATGTTTCTGAGCATCTGAAATGGAATTATAAGGATATCGTTAGGGTGTCATTTTTTTTTATAACGCAAAAACGTCAGTAATCGCGATAATTTACTCAACTTTTTAACACATAACAGGTACGTGCATAACTCAAGAACCACTTTAGATATTAAAACTTTTTTTATTTTCAAGATCGGATATTTTACAATATGTTTACATAAGAAAAATTTGATAAGGTTGTTTTTTCTATTCAAGTATTGTAAACGATCCATCCATTTACTTTTAGAGCATAGCAATTTTCAGCAATCGTGTATTTTTTTTATTGATAACGATTTTCACATACTGTCTACAAAGAAAATACAGCAGAAATATTAACAAAGTTCTTGAAAAAACTACAATCTATTATTTCTAATAGATTTCGAGATATCGATTTTTGAATTCAGAGTTCTTATAGCTCGACCACTATCAAACACCCACTCAATTCCACTTATTTTTACCAAAAAATGCAAGTGTTTCTAGCTTGCACTTAAAAAATTCAAGCTATAGGGAAAATTACGACTAGTTAATAAATAAACAAATTAAGTATCACGGGACGTAATTAAATCGTAAAGCTGAACGCATGACGTACACCTTTCCCTAGAACTTTAAGTACTGACAGAGGTATTGATTGGGTCGACAGGCCAACTGCGACAAATCACTTGTATCTAGCCCTAGCAGGCAACTATTAAGCCCGACCAATCACGTTAGAGTTTTTGACAAACACAAATGAATTAACACACTCAAAATAACCACGCTAACCAACCTGATTGGTCAAGCTTAATAGTTGACTGCTAGAGCTAGACACTTCTCGACAAATCTGCTATATCCTTTCCACATCTCTTAGCGATGTGCACAGTTTCTCGGTTTATTTCATACGTTTGGCAACGTGTTTACTGTCCTCTCTTTGTTCGGTACATTATAAACCTATTGTACTCTTCTTACATATGGAAATCTCGACCCATGACTAACATTTGCCAGCCCTTAGTAGAAACTATTTTGATATTAAATTAAACAGGCATACCAAAACATAAAGCATTATTAGTATTTTACCTGTTGGGCAAAAAAGTATTGTTTAAAATTGAAAACCGTTAAAAAAAGGCTCTAATTTTCAAAATATATAGATGTACACAAGTTGGTTATGATTAAAATCGATTAATTTTTAATAAATTTGTAAGTAAATAGCTTGAATTGTGCTAAAGCAAATTCAGAGTTGTTGTTTGTCGGTTGCTTTGCGCCTCCACGCGTTAGATTGAGACGCAATTGAATTTTACTCGAAGATCTCTAAATTATTTCCAATATTTTAAATAATAATCAGGCGGCTTAATCGCCCCAGGATAGCCCTTAGTGTGGTTGACTGGTCAGCGATGTTTTTACTGTGGAGTTTTCAATGCATCCCACAAGCCTATTTTTTAATGTAGTTTTTATCAAGGTCTTTTTTATCACGTTGATGTCCTGAGGATGGAATAAATAAATTCCGAAATATTGACAATTAACAAAGTGTATTAATTCTATTTCAAATCCTTCCGACTGCAACCCCACTAGTTCCTAGATTTTCTCAACAACTGTATATTATATTTTAGAAATCTGCCTAAGACTTAGTCCGATCCTGTCGTGTTAAGCCGCACCCAAAATTCCACACACACGTGTTTTGATTAAGGCTTGATTAAGGTTTGCACAGCTTCAGCATTTGCCATAACATAGAGAGCAATTTGTTACAAAACCATTTAAATTATATATCGCTGTAATCACAAAACTTCAATCTATTTCCGTGTTGTAACGGAATTTTAAATTATGTCTTTATTTTTGAGAAAATTAAGTCCAAACATAAGGAATATTTTGTTGATTTTGTTTGATCTATTTGATTTTTTTTGATCAAATACTTAAAAATAAAGAAGTTGTCTAAAATGTGCTACAATAATACGGATATAGTATAACCCTTTATCTTTAATTTCCTTTTTCATTTGTTTAAAAATACCTTGCCAGTTTTACATAAAACGTTAAATGCCGAACGCTTATTTTTCTACTTTTTCGGACAAGTGAAATGGACTCTTAAAGTTTAATAATTATTAAGAGCAAAATATTAATAAGTTAAATATAATATTTTGTCCCTCGTCATTGAAAAATCGAGATAAAAACCATCATGTACGTATTAAATCACTGCTAATATCCGATTCGTTCTTTCTAATAATACGACTTTACATTCAGTTTTGTAATCCTATTTTATAAAATATATTTCCGCTTCCCCAACAAATTATAAAGTTTTGACTGATACAAATCCCATCCAAACATTTTTTCATAAAATCTACCTCCCGTCTCTCTCAAACACTCTCTCCCTCTCATTCTCTCTCGTACTTACAAGTGACGTTGAGCCTGGCGTTGGCCCTGATGGCCTTGTTGAGTTTGGCGGGCCCCACTTGGCACTGATACTCGGCGTCGTCCTCCAGGGAGGCGTTGCTGATCCGCAAGTTGTAGACCCCGTGCCTCCTGTCGCCGATAACCGAGTATCGGGGGAATCCGGGGATGACCGACGAAAAACCTGCAAAGGAAAAGAGGGTAGGTTAGAAGTTGAAAGGTGGGGAAAAAGGTGTAGCTGAGTTTGTTCCTTGTTTAAGGTCGTGTGTAAAACTTTTGGCTGTAAATTGGAATTTCTATGTTTTAAATTTTTATTTACGCAATTCATTTTCGCAATTCAATTTCATTTCGTGTGTCCCAAATTCGATGTTGACCAATGCGCAGAGATATGATTTATTTCAGATACAAGTATTTGAAATACATATATAAGGTACAAAATACGTATTTTCATCTTATATTTGAAATACTTTATTTAATTTCATCTTGTATCTTGTATTTAGATTTATTTTTTAGTATCTTAGTATTTTATAAATACTTAGTTTGCTAAAATACATTTACTAATTATTACCTGTGCATAATACCAAATATAATATCCCGATTGTGACGAAATATCCGTAGATGAATAAAAAAATCCGTATTTATTACTTAATATATTAAGTAACATCAAACTTTTTAATTAACATTAAATCTAAAATAGAACAAAAAATTCACAGTCCTTTACAAAGATGCAACCGGGGGGGCATTGAAAATGATGAATAAAAACGTAAAAATATGATTAGTGTTAATATGAGTGTATTACATACATATGTTTAAATAACGAACTTAACAAAAAAACAACAGATTTACAGATTCACTGAAAAAGTAGTAGTGTTAACATTAAATAAAACATTATCAATAATAATTATGCGATCGCACCTTATCCGTAAAACAAGCAAGCAAAAAAACCTCGAAAAAAACAAAATAACATACAAAACATCAGGTTAACATGATGACAGATCATGATCAATGACAGATAAAGAATTCTTACGGAAAGTTACACTTTACGATATAATTTTTTAACTGTTAAAGGCAAACCCCATTTAAACACTTAACTTTTAATACCTACTACTGTATCTAAAAGACTTTTTTTAAATTACTAAATTCTTAGCCACGCTTCTGTTTTTCTTGGCTGTTGTGCGTCACGTCAAAGATTAACAGGCCCACGTTTGCACCACAAGGCGATGCTGCAGACCACTAGGTAGACCGGTCGTAGAAATTTATGTTATACAACTTGTAGTCAATCTACACAAATATTATCAAAAACTTTTTTTCTTTTAAAATGTGTTCAGATTTTGTAAAAAGTATAAGTCAAAATCGCAAAACTTAAATTTGATATGAGTTTCTTAGTTTTTAACTAATATAGTGGCGAATTACAAAAATTCCTTTTCAATGAAAATTAATGAGTTAAATAAAATAATTTAATAAATTACTAGCTTTTTCTCGCAACTACGTTCGCGTTACACCTCGAATCGTTTATGCATTGATTTAAATGATTTTTTACTTCTTTATAGAGAGCTAGTGAACATATAGATGTTTTTTATTTTTCATCTTTTTTTTATTTATTAAGAGCACTAATACTCTCTTTATAGGTTATTTTTTATTCTTTGAAGGATAATTGAGGAAGATATATTTCCTTATGATGTCACTAAATAAACCCTTGTATAAAATTTTATACTGTCTGGTTTATAATGTTATAGTATTGCATTTTCGTACAGCAAACTTTCATTCCCTATTTTACTCCCTAAGGGTATAAATTTCATAAATTCGCTTTACCTTTGTGCCAATTTTTATGTGTATAATCCAGACGTCACCAAGTTTTATATAAATTTTTACTAACTTTACCCATTTGGTTGATGAATTTCAAAAATTTCTTCTAATTCTTTTTGTAGGATTTCATTCTTCTAGACGAAATAGTAAGGAATTTTCATACAACAAACTGTTCCGAGATAATTTTACTCTCTAAGAGGATGAATTTCCTAAAATCGCTTTGTGTAGCTAATTCACTAATGTCGTTTAAACGAACCTTTGTGCTAATATTTATGTATCTAAAGCTGGCGGCATCAACTCACTCTAAAATATCTAAAAACGTAATATATAATCTAACTGACACACCACTGACAATGACAACTAATTTATTTCTGGAGGTATTGTGTGTAGGTGTTTTCAGGTATGTTTTAGTATTTAGTCGTTTTACACAAAGAAATAGCCATTAAGCACTATAAAAATACTTCATAACAAATCTACACATATATACCTTTCATTTAAAAAAAGAATCATCAAGATTGGTAAAGCGCTTTCGGCGGGATGGATGCAACAAAAAAACCCTTTGAGCTTTTATATATGTATGGACTAATTATTTTTCCAACATATTTTACTTTGCAAATTTTTATAAATATTCAGACTCGCCAATATCGTACTCCACCGTGTCCAGCCTGTTTAGCCAAACGTAGGCCGATTCCTCTTCGGCGGCGTCGTGACCCTGGCCGAAGGAAGAGTCTTGAAGACGCTCATCCGCGCATAGGAATAAGTTGACTGCGTAGCGTATTGCGTATTAATCGATTCTGAAACTTTCTATCTCGTGTATAACATGTTACGCAAGTTTATTATTTTAATCTCGATTTTAATAGATAAATGTGTGAAATGCCACCTGAATATCTTCCGCCATGACATGTTTTTACTTTTTTGTTATGGTAAAGTGATTTGTATAAACTTTATTCAATAACGTATATTTTCCTCCATTTGTGATTTTTTAATTTTAAGCGAAAATTAAGTATAACATTTTAGGAAAAAGAAACACTGTAATATTTAAAAGAATAAGAAGAAATTAGTCTTATTTTGAAAGGAAAATATAGAAAAAACTCTTTCTATAGAAAAAGTCTTTATACTAACCAGAATCCGGTGACATATACGCGGTCTCACCGGAAACATTACTTATTACTTCGCATAACTTGAAGAATATCTACTTTTAATAATGAACACTTCAGAAATACACCAGTAAAAACATTTATTATTTGAGATTAAAACTCGAATTAAATTATAAATATTAGTTACCTATGTTGTTATAGCTTTTATAGGCCTGTTTAACGACTTAATAAGTTACCTAGCGAAAAAATCTGTGCGCGTACCTACCACTATTGTTACAGGTTAATTCGTTAAAGAAATATGTTACACAAGTTAAAAACGCTAAAATTTTAATGGTATTACTTGTGCATTATTGGCCTTATAATGTAATTTGTTGGAATTATATCTTCTTTAAATATAATTAGACTTTTTAACGACTTTTAAGTTACCTAGGAAAAAATCTGTGCACGTACCTACCAGTATTGTTACAGGTTAATTCGTGAAACAAATGTGTTACATATTATTCGTGGTATTAGTGGTATTATATTGGAATCAGCTTGGCATTAGTGGGGCATTATATGAGAAATTTTGGTATTTAATTTGTATTTTTGGCATTACTTTGGCATTAGTATACAGACATTTGTCAGCGGTTTACTCCTTGTAGATAATCAAAAAGTTTTTTGATAAAATTTGCTTTTTATGTCAGATCATTTCTATGAAAAATTACATTAGATTTTTATTAAAGACGCTGGGTAATTAAAACATTGACTAATAAAGCTTGTCCACTTTAAATAAGGGGTCACGAAATATCCTCCTTGGAGTGTTTGGGTTAAGGGGTGTATAATAAATTAATCGTTGTTTTATAATAAAAACCATAAAACATTTATTTGTGAGTAAAATAATGCAATGGTTGGATATCTCTCCTTTATAATTAGGTGACTAAAAATACACTAAAATAATTAGAAAAAAAATCTTGTACTTATTTAGTAATTACGTCAATATTAATTAATTGACTTTCTAGTCTATTTTATTTTATGTACAAATATATTATTAAATTTTAAGCATTAAGTAATAAAACACTTTGTGCCCTCTTATATCGTAAGAGGTTACGAAATATACTCCTGGTTACACCCCTTACAGAAAACAGTGTAAGGGGTGTAAATAAATTGTATAATCACTGTTTTTTATAATAAAAACTATAAAACATTTCTTATTTGTGAGATTAAAAAAACAAAACAATGCATTGGTTAAAATAAGTACATTCAATACATATGTGTTATAACATAATATAGCCATTACTATTATACTATTATTATTAAAATAATATGTGTGTAACATATTTCTTTAACGAATTAACCTGTAACATTTATATGCCCAGTATATTTTTGTTTAACAAACCAATCAGGAAAAATCCAAAACCTACCGTTATAGGAGGTAAAAGATGATTAAATTTATACAATGACAACTACTTATCGGATAAAAAATTAATTACTACTGTCAGCTAGTTCAGCTACTGTCTAGGTAGAATATACCTGGAGTACCTACACCTGCCTATGATGTAGGTAGATTAAAGCTTATTTTGACGTTACCTCTCACTTCGGTGTCACAAGCTGAATTCTTCAGGGATGGAAGTACGGTACATGATATGGGGACCCTTATTCCGAAAGTAGTACAAAATTAGACCGGGTAAAAGGGCACTATCATCAAAAATCGATATATTAATACCACCGTATAGAGAAAACAAATACTTATTTTTTGATCCAATACACAATAAAGTCTTCGTAGGAAGTAATTTTTTATAATTATTTACAAAAAAAAATTTCCATTAGTGCTTATGACCAAAAAAAACTTTAAACATGAATAATCATTTCAATCATGCGAAAATTTGGTTTAAAAATAGATTTTTTCAATATAACTTTCATTTAACGAAAAACGAAGGCCTAAATGAAAAAAAGAAACAATTTAAAAGTTTCGCTTATGTCTTGACAAGGTATCAAAGCAAACCCCATATTTTTTGCTTTTAAACTAATAAAGATATATCAATAAACAATTAGCGATGTAATGGTTTTTGCGCGCGCTGGCCGACTGCGCCGAGATTTCCTATACCCTTGTATATATGACGTCATGGTGTGGCAAATGTAGCATTTTAATTCGATTTGGGCTCCCTTATATAGGATAACAGAAACATTTTCAATGTTAATAAACATTCTAAAAATTACAACATTTTTATTCTTCTGTATCTATCTAGTATTATTAAATGAATTAAAGTAAAACACCCATTTCATTCTTTAAAAAGGAATGGAT